TTTTCATACTCTTTTCAGTAAAGCATTCTTTTTCAGTGAGCCGAAGAGCTCTCATTATCCTTAATCTCTTTTACACTCCTCTCATAACCGATTTGAGTTGCCACACCTTCTTGTGCGAGAAGAAATTGACTAATCTAGAATCAAAATCGAATAGTCTCTAATCCAATTTTCTCCGCAAAAAAATTGATTTATTTTTTTATCAGTTTTTTCTTCTCAAAAAACTGTCATATTATCTGAATTTATTATTAATTGATATCATACTTTCCTCACTGTATCTCAAGAAAGAGATTATAAAGATTTTACTGATTTATCTTAAAAATCAATTTTAGTTTATTAGATTCTCTTCAAAAATCTAATCTAGTTACTGAACTAGTGTGAAAAAAATCAGGTATTTTACACATAAAAGTCTGTTATTCTTCTTTTGAAATAGTCTGATCAACTTTTTAATTGAAAACAGACTTAGAAATCTCTTAATTGAAACAGTCTGATTAACTTTTCAATTCAAAAGAGTTTAATAAATATCTCAATTGAATTAGTCTGATTAACTTTTCATTAAGTAAGAATAATGAGTTTGAAAGTACACTTAGTTGATGTGAAAAAGAATGCTTTCTCAAATGCTATTTCTGAGATTGAAATTCTGAAGAGAAGAAAGAAAGAAGAAATAGAGAAATAACAAGTTCTTGAAATACAGAAACTTGAAAAAGAAAGTAAAATTCTTGAAAAGCAGTATCTGAGTGAGATGAATGAAGAAGTTCTGTTAATTCTTCATACTCAGGCTAGACAACTACAGAAAGTGATCAAGTTCAAACTTAGAATTTCAAACACAGTTCAAAAAACTTTGAAAATTTCTAATACAATCACTGACTCTTCAGTTTGCTCTTCTTTCTTTTCTACTTCTTCTTCTTCTTCTTCTTTAAATTAGAAGAAAATATATGCTTAAGCAGCTGAATCTACTGTCTCTAAATCTGCTATCTCTAAATCTGCTATCTCAAAATCTGCTCAAAATTCTGAGAAAACTGAGAAGAATACTGCTCATACTTCTATTGATAGAAGAGTGAAGAAAAAAATGTAAAAAGAGAAAAATCTTTAAATCTTCAGAAATAGAAGACTTATTCTCAAAGTTTCAAATCAGGACATATTGCAGAGAAATAAGCTAAACTCAAACCTTATTTTCAGAATTAGAAATGAAATCAATCAGCAGTTCTTTTCTCAGTTAATAACTAACATTGAAGTTCAAAAACCAGTTATAGCTTCAATTGAGTTATTCTTCTTTAAAAACTTCATCATTCTCATTACAATGTCTGAATTCAGTGCAGAATTTCTTATTCAGAGTGAGAATCTCTGAAAGTCAGCAGTAGAATCTCTGTTAAACATAATAATTCTATCTAAGAGAGATGAAAAGTGAGATAAATTCATTCTTCATAATATTTCAGTTGAAATCTTTGACTGTGAGAAAGAAATACTACTTCTTAAAAATGAATTGAAAGAGTACAATTCTATTCAACTGAGAAAAGAGTCTGTATGACTTAATTCAATTGAGTTCAGACAGAGTAAAAGAAATACCTCTGTTCTAGTATATATAAAGACACTTCAACAATCAAGAATCTCTGAAGTAAGAGTAGCAGATTTGAAAATGAGAGTTCATGAATACAAAGACTCAAGAATGAATCTCAAAGCTCAAACACAGTGTTCAAACTGTCAAAGATATGAACACTTTGTAATCTCTTGTTTCAGAGACTCAAAATATGCATTCTGTGCTAGAGATTACAAAACTAGTGAGCATAAATGTAAAACATGCTTAAAAAGAGATGAAATATGTCAACATACTCTGCTTAAGTGCTTCAATTGTAAAGAAAAACATGCATCTAGCTCAAAAGAATGTGTATTTACTTCAAGAACTCAGAAGAACTGAAGAAAAGATGAAGCTCAAAGTAAATCTAAAACTGAAGAGAAAAGTCAAGCTAGTAAATCTATAACTATAAGCTTAAAAAGAAGAAATTCTTAACTATCTAGATCTTCAAACTTCAACTCTTCAGCTAAGTATAAACAGAATTTGAATTCTCAAACTTCTGTTAAGATTAGAGAATTGAGAAATAACTCTGATAATAAACTAGATATAATACAAGCAGTTAAGATTCCTACTTTTCAAAATAGTTATAATCTACTATCTGATGATAGAGATTAGATTCTACTCTATATCTACTCTCTCTTAGTATGAATATACAACAAAAATAATAAAAAAAGTTTAAAAACTCTTCAAAAATCACATTTATTCAAAATAATGTGAATAGAAACTTAAATTGTATTTATTCTTATCTTCAGATTGCATTTGAATAAAAAGTTGACTTTGTACTTCTTTAAGAACTAAACTTTGATACTGAGTAAAAGTATATCATTTCTCATTCAAGCTATTACTGCTTTCTTTCTGAAAAATCTGAGATAAAATCAAGAGTAGTGATCTATGAAAGAAAAAGATCAAGATATTAATTTAATTTAAGATTTGATATCATATCTGACTCTGATATTCTAGTGAGTGATATTATAGATAAAGAGAATGAGTTTGATACTATTCAACTTATAAATATCTATAATAAAAAGTCATTGAAAGAAAACAACAATATCTGAATAATTGATAGAGGATTTTTAAATATAACTCTCTTAAAAAACTCTATTATTGCAGAAGACTTCAATACATATTATCTCTGATAAAACTCAGAGTGCACAAGAGCAGTAAGAGCAGATAAACTGATTGAATGAACTTTTAAGTATTCAATAGATTTAGTTAATAAGTCTGATCAACAAACATTCTTTAGAAAAGACATGAAACAGAAATCTATTATAGATCTAACTTTCATATCATAAAATCTAATTAAAAAAAGACTTATAAACTGATTTATTGATTCAAATGAAACCTCAGAATCAGATCATGAGATCATTCAATTTGATATTGAACTGAGTGAAAAACAAAGAAGTGAAAATCCTCTTCTCTCTAATCAGTATAGCTTTGAAAAAGCTGATTGAAAAGCAGTTGAAGAAAGAGTAAAACAGCTGAAATCTGAAAGATAGAGTGAGCTTTATTGAAGTCAAAGTCAAGATATCTCAAATGAAATGCTTGAGAATAGAGTAAAGCTGATTACATCTATTCTTCTAACAAGTATTGAAGAAAATATTTCAAAGAAAAAGTCTTCTGAGTATTTCAAATCTTGATGAAATGAGAATATCACTTCTAAAAGAAAGCAATTAGTCACTGCTAAGAGAGAGTGAAAGAATAACTTAATATCTGATAAAGAGTTCAAAGCTATTTAAAATGAATATTTTTCAGATATTAAAAAAGTCAAAACAGATTACTGAAACAAATTTCTTGAAGAAGTATAAGAAAAAGAAGTCTTTAAAGTCTTTAACTATACTAAAATAAGAAGTGTAGCAAAGCTTTCAACCTTAGAATATGAATTTCAGAATAAATTGTATACAGCAAACTCTTTTGAGAAAAAATATTAAGCTTTTATAAGAATTCTCTTTCAAAACTCATCACATTTAGAAGAGAAGAATATGTCATTTCATGAATATATTGATAAAAATAACTGAGAATAGCCTGAGCTTACATGTGATGAACTAGAGTCAGTAATATTCTCAAGTTCAATTAAAACTACTACAGGGCCTGATTCAATTAATCATTTAATTATTCAAAACACATATTCCTACTTGAAGAATGAATATTTTGAGCTCTTTTTCAATCTCTTAAGAAATGATTATCATTCTGAATGCTGAAGAGAAGCTACTGATGTAATCCTTATAAAACCTAATAGAAAAGCTTCAGTTTCTAAGTTATATAGAGTAATATCTCTATTGAACTGTTTAAGAAAAGTTCTAGAAAAGATAATAGCTACTAGATTATCTTTTATAAGCTCTATTAGTGATTCTCTTCTATTTAATGAATAAATAAGAGATAGAAAACAATGTTCTGTAATTGACACTGTTCTCTCAGTTATTCATGATGTTCAAGTAGTAAAGTATGAAGACCTGGTCTCAACTGCAGTTTTTATTGACATAAAAGATACATTTAATCATGTTTCAAAGTCTAAGATGATTCAAACTTTGAAGATGTTAAAACTATCACTTTCTCTAATAAAATGAGTTAATTATTTCATGTCTAAAAGAATTATACAACTATTCTTTGATGAAAGAAAACAAGATAAAACTGAGATAAAAATAGAAGTATCATAAGAATCTCTAATCTCATCTGTTTTATTTACAATATACACTGCATATTTATTCAAGAATAGAGAGATGAAAATAGTGAGATCTTCAAGTTATGTAGATGATATTGATCTACTCTACAGTTCAAAGACAATTAAAGAGAATTTAGAAGTGATTAAGAAAGCAGTAAAGAAAATCTTTGTTAGAGCAGATATCAATCTAATTTAATTTGATATGAATAAAACTGAGTTAATTCACTTTTTTTCCAGATTTAATAAAAAAGAACTAAGTTTAACTCTTCTGAATAAAGAGATTAAACCCAGTTTGAATGTTAAATGACTAGAAGTATGATTAAACTCTAAGTTGAATTTTAAATATCATATTCAATAAAGAATCATCAAGACAGAGAGACTACTAAATAGTATAATCAGACTATCAAATACTGAGAGAGGTCTATCTTTTCAGGCTATGAGACAGTTATACATAGCCTGTATTATCTCAGTAGCTGATTATAAAGTTCAAGTCTGATGAAACAATCAAGATAACTTCACTAAACTGTTTCAAAGTCTATAAAACAGAGCTTTGAGAAGAATTCTGAGAGTATTCAAATCATCTTCTATTAAAGCAATGGAAATTGAAGCCTCAATTTCATCTTCTGCTATTTAATTTGAAAAGGCCTGTATGAACTATGCTCTGAGAGTCATAAAGATAAGCTTAAATCATATAATCAGAGAAAGAGTCTCTTCTTCATTTTCATCAGTTAACTCAGGAAATGAACTGGATTGAAATAGATTTCTTAATTAAAATGAGAATAATACTTTAAAGAAAATGCCCTCTCAACTGTATAAACTATGTTCACTTATTAAGAATCAATTTTCTTTATTAAATATTGAAAAAATTGATCATGAGAAGATATCTCTCTGGAAAGAAAAGCTGGAATCTCTCATAGACTTACAAATAAGTGAACTATCTAAAGAGAGAGAATATGAACAGCATTTGAAGAAGATCTCTATAATCAATATAAAAGAGTCTATTCTGATTTACTCAGATGACTCAAAAAATAAGAATTTGAATAGATTAAATACAGACATTGCTTATACTGAAGATAATATCAATTTTATCTCAGATTTCTGGAATTTAGACTGTGAATCTGAAGTCTTTGATGCTGAACTGTTTGTAATAGTGAAAGCTTTCAAACTCATTGAAATAAAATCTCATAAAAGAGGAAATAGTTTGAAAGAGATATGAATATTCTCTGATAGTCAAGCTGCTTTAAAAAGACTTAGAAATAGTCAGATTTATAATGATCAAATGAATCTTGATCTGATTTTAAACTCTGTTTTGAAAATTCAAAAGAGAAGAACATCTAAACTGATAATTCATCTGCATTGAATTCCTGCTTATATAAATATTCATGGCAATGAATTGGCTGATTCAGCTGCAAAAAAGAGTTCAGAATTAAGCAGATCTATTCAAAAAACAGTGTTCTGATCTTTCATAAAGAGAAAGATAAAAGAATCTTGTTTAAACAAGTGCAATGAAAGCTGGCAGAAATAAAAGAAGAGCATACATTATTCAAGATTTGAGACAAAATCAAAGTGAAAATCTTGTTCAATTAAATGTAAAAAGAAAATATTCTCATTCATAATTCAGCTAAAACTAGAATATGGTTATTTCAAATCCTATATATAAAGATTTGATGATAGATTTAATTCAACAGAGTGCTCATTCTGCAATACAAATGAGAATTCTGAGTATATTGTAATACATTATACATTATACAATAGTCTCAGAGTCAGATTAAAGAAGAAGTATGATTTAAATCAATTAAATATGAGGTTCTTATTCTCAACTGAGACAGGACTTAAATACTTAATAGACTTTCTATCAGAAACTCAAGCAGCTACAAGAAAATGGCTCAACTCAGAAGTATCTGAATATGAAGAGATGGAAATTGATTAGATATAGTCTGTTAAAACAGCTATACACTATCTTTTAATAATTTTATTTTGTCATAGTCTCTCTTTACTGTACTTGTTTCTTTCTGTTCTTTTCTATCTATCTATTTAATGTGTCTATCTTTAAGACTATGTTCTCTTTTC